GCTTGCGCTCCCTGTTCTGGGTCCGCCCCCCAACTCTGTGAGCACTCCCCGGATGCTGACCCCACCCCGTAGCCACAGCCTTTATTCCGGGGGTCGCGCTGGAAGGAACAAGGCTGCCCTCTGCCCCAGACCGCCTCTCCTTCACAGGGACGCTATGGCAAAGCGGGCTCCGCGCCCCTCTCCTCCGGTCCACCCCACCCCCACCCACTTGCTCCTGAGAAGCCTCTGAAGGGAGCCAGACTGCGTGGGGCGAGGGGGCCGACAGGATAGCTCCTACTGGGTCAGTGGTTCTGGGGGACCAGGGCAGCCGAGGTTAGGGTAGCGGGAAGGGGGAGAAGGAGAGACTGAAAAGGCTATGGCTGTGACGTCATAGTATTTACCCCCCTGGCGCCCGGCCAGCGACCGCCCCCTCTGTGATACAAGTCTTGAAGCTGAGATCTAGAATCCCCAGCAACTGGTTCTAGGGGGTGCGACTTGGACAGGTCCGTACCCCACTCAGTGATCGAAGGTCCTGAGACCGCTACCCGACTGCGCGGAGTGTCTGCGACATCAAGCCCTTAGTGCGCGTTCGCCTGGCGATCGTGTCCTTTGTGCTTTTCATATCTATGAGACCACTAGAATAAGTGCTCGGAAGGTGAGCTGACAGGTGAGTAGGGTGCGCAGGCGTCCATACTTAATAGCCTGGGTGGGAGGCGGAGAGCAGGGAGCACAGCGCCGCTGGGCGGCAGCCCGGAGCATAACACACCAAAAGAAAGCTTTTCTGGCTCTAGATTTACCATCTACTTATCTCCTGGACTATCTCACCCTAAGAAATCCCCGCCCCGGAGATTCCGTATCGTCCCCATACCCCTCTGCAGTCCTGGTTTTTTTTTTCTTGAATATCAAGTTTTCACCTCAGTACTGCAGTTCCTTCTTCCAAGAAAGTTCCTTCTTCTCCTGGCTTACTTTGGTTGTTAGTTGTTGCGTCAGTTCCAAAGCCCCTTCTTCGGAACCCCCGACTCCAGGACATGACTCCCTTTTTTCTGCCCAGAGCCTGGCACGTGTTTGATGAGGTGAGTTGCATCTTTCTGAGCTGCCCCGCAGAACCTGAGCAGCCAGCTGTGGATTTCCACCAGGTGGCGCGAGGACCCAGCGTCACGTTTCTATGTCCACCAGGGGGCGCTGCAGCCCGCCTCTGGACGTCCAGGGAAGGCGAATCGGACTCGCGTCTAAGACGCACCTGATTGGAAGAGGCAACATGAAACTCTTTGCACAATCTTGAAAAACCCGTGCTGAGTGGCTGTAGTACAGAAGCCAAATGTGAAACGTGCCCTCCTATTGGTTCAAATTTCTCCCCTCGCTCCTAGTCCCCACACGGACTAGTTTGGTGCCCGGGGTCAGTCGGAAGCCGTCGGCTAGAGGCGAAAGCGGACACTGGTGTTCCGGCAGTGGACAGGGATGAGTACAGGGTGACCAAGTCGGGATGCAGAGATCCAGGGTGAGACACTGTTTGCCCCACCCTGACTCTTGCTTGCTTGCCCATTCCCGCGTCTAGGAGTTGGGGCTGAGAGACTAGCGAGAGATCTGGGGGTTTAGTGAATACTGGACCCTTAGCTTCTGCCACTCCGTCCACCCACGGGCTCCCGGAGGTCTACGGGGTCTACGGCACCCTGCCTCACCTACGCTGCCTTCAGGTAGGGGCAGGAGCCTTCCTCAACCCCTTCTTGGCATGCTGGGAGCAGCCGCGGTATCCCACTCTGGCCTTTCCTGGAAAGTGACTCCCAGAGGTGTGTGCGGGTGGGCCCAGGACGCCTGCCCTTTCCGAACTTGTTCTTGCAGAATCGTTCAAAAGTGGGGCTCTTTGCCCCCGGGTGGCCGGGGATGGGCACCGAAGATGAAGGCCCGGAGCCAGACTGCCAGAAACAGTTCCAGGCTGCAGTCAGCGTCATTCAGAGCTTGCCCAAGAACGGTGAGGCTGTGGGGACACCCTGGGGATCCATGTTTGTTTGGGGATGTCAAGCCTGCTGGATCTGGCTTTTGAAGCCCCCAAAGAAAGGTTCCTGCCCAGGCTGCCCTGTGGTACCCCGCAGCCACCCTACCCACTCCTGGACAGGGCACCTCATTGTCTCTGCCTGCTCCAAGAGTGGTTTCTCTCTCCACTTAGGGCTGAGGGTGATGCTCTGCCCTCCCTTTCTCACCCCTGCCTAGGCTCATACCACCCCTCTTATGAAGAGATGCTGCGATTCTACAGCTACTACAAACAGGCCACTGTGGGGCCCTGCCTGGTTCCCCGGCCTGGCTTCTGGGACCCCATTGGACGCTATAAGTGGTGAGCTCCCCATTGGCCGGGCAAGCAAGTCTCAGCTGTCAACCAGCCCGCTTACAGTCCTCTGTCCCCCAGGGATGCCTGGAACAGCCTGGGCAAGATGAGCAGGGAGGAAGCCATGTCTGCCTACATTGCTGAGATGAAGGTGGTGGCGCAGAAGGTAAAGGGGTAGTCTGCTGAGCCCCCTACCCCAGTCACCTGCCTTAGACCCCTCTAGTGCTGACCCTTTATGTTTCCTGCACTGACCCCATGAGTCTCACCTTCATGTTGCCACCCCACTCCACCCTGCCTTTCCCTGGTCCCCGGCCTGCCCCCACAAACAGGCCCCTCACCCACAGGTGATCGACACGGTGCCACTGGGCGAGGTGGCAGAGGACATGTTTGGGTACTTTGAGCCACTCTATCAGGTGATCCCTGACATGCCAAGGCCCCCGGAAACCTTCCTGAGAAGAGTCACAGGTCAGGCGCCCAGGAGCTGAAGGGGGCTCAATTGGGGGTGGGTTAGAGAGTTCCAGGTGATGATGCTGTGAGAACCCCAGTCGAGACCCCCAGTGACATGATCTCAGGCAGTGTTCGGGGCTGGTGGGGAGCAGGGGTCTCCTCCCCCCAGGCCCATCTCAGTGCAGTGTCTCAGCAGATCGGAAAGAGGAAATCCTGAATGGAGATGTTGGGGTTGACTCAGAGCCTCCCTGTCCTCCCAAGGAACTGGCCCCTCCCAGCCCAGGTCAGTACAGGGGCAGAGAGCCAAATCCAGGTACGGCCCCACAAAGCGGGCTAAGATGGGCCGGGAGGCTGGGTGCCAGGCCTTATGCTCACAGACCTTGAGCCCACTTGGGTTTCTTGTGCCAGTGTCCCTACTGGCCCACGAGCAAGTCCTCTGTCCAGTTGGATGTTCATCTCCTCCCTGTGTAGGGCCCCCTCTTATCAATCACTCCACTGCCGTCCCCAGACGCCCTGCCACCCCGGGAACTGGACTCTGAGGTGTTCTGTGATTCCCTGGAGCAGTTGGAACCAGAGCTGGTGAGGCCCCCTCACTATGCATCTCCTAGCCCCTCACAGACCTGCCTACTTCCACCACCCCAGGACCTTGTCATTCATCTCAGCAGGTGTGGGAAGAGAAGAGGGCAGCACCTGCAGGGGGCCCTGATCCCTGGACCAGCCCCAGGCCCCCGAGAGAGAAAGGTGAGTCCTAATGACCTCTCACTCTCCTCTGCGCTTCTGGCAGCTCTGGTGCCCAGACACCCCCCACCCCCACCCCCCGTCCTCCTAGGCCAGAGGGGAAAGTCCAGCACTGAGCAGAGGGTGCAACCTCGGTCACAGCCTGGGCAGGCAGAGTCTCTTCCCTCTACCCCAGCCCCATCACCTCCAGCTTCATGGGCCTCCCTGCCCCCTTCTAGAACTTCCCCTGTGCAGTGGCTCACAGGGCCACTGCCATATAGATTAGCTCTGAGCAAGTTACTCTGTGAGAAAAAGGACACTGTACTCTGATTTTCAGGTGACAAAATGTATCCCAGAGAAGTTAGTGCCTTGCCCCAAATCACACAGCTAGTGAGCAGTAGTGCTGCCATTCGAAGCCCTGGCAGCTTGTTTTGGGCCTATGGAGGACCTTTGCCGGGTCACACTTGGTACAAGGACTGTCTATGATCGCACCTCCCACCTGTCATCACCCTCCCCTGCCTCCCACTGAACCGCCTCCTGAGTCCCCTTCCCTGTGTCTGTGCTCTACAGAGGGCTTGGGGGGCAGTCAGCTGGGACCCCAGGATTTGGACTCGTGGCTGGTGGGAACCGTCCGGGCGCTGCAGGAGAGCATGCATGATGTCCATGGAAGATTGCAGAACCTGGAGAGCATGCCCCACCCCCACAAGCAGGTAAGGTACCCCCCCTGACCCCATTAAGACTGGAGGGCCACCCTGCCTGTCCCATCTCCAGCCTTCTCTCCCAGCCGCCTGTCGTCATCCCGATGCCTCCACCTGCCCACAGACTGGGTGACTCATGGTGCCGGCCGGGAGCAAGGGGGTCTGAAGGGCTCCACCCCCACTCTCTGTCTAGAGAGAACAGAGCATGAGAGCCAATCCTGAAAGTCTGGGGGCCGGGATGTCTGCTGTTTGCTTGAGGCTGCGGTCCTTGCCCCCCAGTCAGGCATATGTTCCCAGACTCTGGTTCCCCCTAAACAGATCAGCCCTTGCCTCCCTCACCCATGTCCTGACACCTAGGTCGCTCCCCTGCACAGGCCGTGGGGCCTGGGCTTCAGCAAAATAAGGAACAGCTGCCACTCCTTGAGTCCCAGGCCTGTTGCTTGCATCTCATTTCATCACACTTCAGCCCTATGAAGTAGATTTTGTGTCCACCATCTTTCTGCAGACCAGGAAACTAAGGCTTGAGGTTGAGTAAGTTTCCTAAAGGTGCACAGCTTGGAAGTGGGGGTTTGGGGGGACAGTGCTCACAGGTGCTTCCTCCACAGATCCTACCACATAGGGCATCCTTAGAGGGTTGCTCTTATTAAGTGTATCGAGGAATGATCGAGCTGGGACCCACCCTGCACTCTGGTGGACCCATTCTTGAAAGGCTGCAGGCAGGAGGGGGCTGAGTTGCTGGATATAGGGGGGGGG